GGAATGCTGCGGTTGCAAACTAAGAAAAGAGTGCTTGATAGAGAGGCTCTTTTACGTGTTGAAATAACTGGAGAGCAATCATGATTCATTGCTTACATACATTGTAAGGGGAGTATTTTCAGCACAATCCAAATATGAATGATATAGTATCATACCTTTTATTATCTTGTTATCAATATTGGCCTTGTTAGCAATAGTAAAATTTTCACCCAAATGACCACGGGGAGCGTCTTTCATTTAATTTCATTCTTTTACTACAATTATGCTTAAATCTCCTCTATGATTTCTACCTCTTATTACTAACATTTTCCGTGCTAGTTTCATCTAAAGAAAGTCGTCATTTGCCACAGGATGTTACAGAACTCCGCATACTTGCTACCCAGATGGCCTCAGCGCTCAACGCCAGTGAGGTCAATGCTCAGCGAGAGCGCGAGCTCCGGCAGAGCATTGAGGATGTTACTTTGCAATTGGAGCCCTTTGAGAAGGCAAGTCTTGCGTTTTAATGGTTTATGACCAGCTAGAATTAAGCCCTGAATTATTTATTTTATTATTAAGAGATCATTTATAGATTAACTTTGTGAGTTGGAAGGTTATAATGACACGAGCATATATATATAGGGCTCTTTGTAGTGGGTTCTTCCTACAGCAGCCTCCTATATAAATGGTAAGCTGAGCTCTTACACATGTGTATGTTTATTGCAAGCGGTTATTTATGCTCCACAAAGTCACAGCACGTACTGTTAAAGTCTATTTATTTGAAGTACAATTTGCTGCTTTATTATTTTTCATAATCAACCGTCTATTAGACCTGAAATCAATTCTTCAATATGGGATTCGTGATGAATTTAGTGAATTACATATATTTCTCGTTTTTATGTAGCTCTTCGAAACTATTAATAGTAGACCATTCTGTTAAGTTTCACATAGCACTGCCTTCCATTAAGGTATGTTATTCAGGGTGGACTGGAGTTTCGACCTCGTCTAGGTCCCATCAGCACCTCCGGTAGGTCTAGAACGATGATAGTGCGGCCTATAATCTCAGCATATTAACCACTACGCAACTGCTACGAAAGCTCTTGGGTCACAGGCCAGATGTGAATTTAAAGCAAGGCCAGGTTTTTTCTCATATAATATTCTTTGGTGGGATTGTCGATGAAATAAAGTTGTATTTGCTATAGTAATCGAAAAACATTACTTGTCTTTCGTTTATAAATTTATTTTCTAGACGTAGTAAATTATATATAATCTTAAACAAAATAAGGTGAATACTTCTCATATATATGTTATACTGGAAGTCTAGAAAACCTTATAAACTAAACATAAGTGTTGTTATCGATTACTATATCAAATAAAACTGCTCCATTGACAACCTCTCCGCAGAATGTGGTATTAGAAAACTCCTGACTTTTCTTGAAATTTACATCTGCTCTTTGACCCAAGGGCTTTGGTGGCACTGTATCGTAATAAATATATCCTCTCGGGATTATACGCCACACTGTCATATTCCAACTGGGGGTACTGATGAGACCTAGACGAGATTGAGACTCCAGTCGATCCTGAATAAGAATACATTATGGTAAAACAATACCTTTGCCAAATTCAATGAAATTGTAATGTCTAATTATATAATTTGTGTTTTAACCCTATTTCAGGTGATAACGAGATTGCTAGTTATATTTTCCTACATTATTACGAGTAGACCTTATGTTTCCATTTAATTTCACATATCCTTACCTTCCTAAGATGTATTTTCATCTAGGGGTCGACTGCAGTTTCAACCTCACCCAGGTCTTTTCAACACCGTTCTCAGGACTCGAAGCATCACAATGCGGCCTATATTGTCAAGATGTCAACCACTACTTATATCGTTGTGGGAAAATTTAACTATGCATCCCCTTATCACCTTATACGAAATAGGATGCATTCATTTTATACTTACATATATAATTTGGGGAACTGGTATAATGTGTCTTCATTAGGAGAACTATTAAACTGACATTTTTCTGCATTTTTATTTTGTCAAGCAATCCTACATGATTAACATTACAACACTTATAGAGGTTGTTTGACTTTGTTTTCGCAACATGGTCATATTGGTAGGAAGACTAATTGGAAAACAAGGTCAAACAACCTCTATACAACGAAAGGAGACTGCGACCACACAAAAGGCCACATCATCTTGGTATACCTTCGATTACAACACTTATTTTTCTACATTTTGACTTATTTATTTTGATTATTTATCGTATTTGTTCTTATACACTCTAGCTCAGGCAGATAAGGGAGGCGTAAAAAATAATTGTAATCAGTAATGCACAACATCCTATCTACTTGACCATTAAAAAGTGAATTTACATAAACTTAACAAGCTCATGAGGGCAAATTTATTTAACCCTAATTTTCTCTTGCATAACTTTTCTGTTTCATTTTCGATTTATAATGGCTATTGATTAATGCCATCCCATAAATTGGAATTTGCTTAAGAGGATTTAACTGGGTCTAATTATCCTACCTCTTTATTACTACAATCCGGATTATTATTCGACCTTTTGAATCTTAATTACGGTTCTTCTTTAGGAGCACTTAGAGACGGTTACTTCATGCTTCACTTTTACGCCACTACTTGCGTGGTACAGCACCTTTTTCAATTTTTTTACATCAATAGTATATTTTCCTTTATTTTCTTAACAATTCGAATTTGAGGCATCTCCGTACATAAGCATTCTTATTTGAGCTGAACTGAACTTTAAAAAAATATATTTCTTGAGAAAATTGATTTTGGACTTTGATTTAGTTAATAAAACCTGGTCTAATTTGTTAGATCTAAGCTTTTTTTGTCGTCATTTTTGATGAATAACAATACTTTATTTACCTATTATTATTTGTTTTTACTTGCCTCACATTTATCTACATCAAAACACCCATATTTTGATAAAAAAAACCACTTTGCTTTACTTCACCATTTTATTAATGATCTGTTTATTATTCTGCAAAAACAGACATCTCTTCAGGGATTGATTCATTGTAAACACTAAACTGTAGCCGGCTTAAGCTGGCTTTGTGCACCTTGTGCTAAATATCTCATTAGACTTGCATTTATCAGACTTTTAAGTGGAACATTGAAACTTTGCTTCACAATACTCTGTTAGTCATAGAAGCTTATCTGTATTTTTTACTCGTTTATATTTAAGATTCAAATATTTTTCGTATGTAATTAGAGTTTCGAGACTACCAGTAAATCAGTAATATTAGATGTATTTACCTTATTTTGTTTAAGGTGATGAAGGATTGGTAGTTTGATTTTCTCACAATGATATGAGTAGATTTGACATTTCCATTGAATTTCACAGCCTTGCTTTCCCAAAAGTTGTTCTCATCCAGGGTGGACTACAGTTTCGACTTCGC